AAAAAAAAAACAATTGTTTATGTATCTGCCAGCAATCCCAATTACTAATTTTAAGCCACAAGATGGCGAACGACGAAACCTTTCATTATAAGAACCTTGTATAAGTATCGTTATCTAAGTTTACGATTTCAAAAGCGAGAGCAACTCAATGACAACTAATCCCATTCCAAGTATACTTTTTCTCAAATGCTTTCCATACAATCCAAAGCTGTATATAATGCAATATCGTATATACCTTTTAAATGCTTACTTATCAACTTATCAACAAAAAAACATGCAAAAAAAAATCACATTGTAAAAAAATTATATTTTAAAAATTTGATTTTTGTTTTCTCTTTTCTCTCTCTTTTCAACAAAATTCTCGATGTGTGCTAAATTGTCAACATTTATATAAATATATACCAAACTACAAACATAACCAAACATTTTACACTCAAAACACTTAACACACATATTTGTGAAATACGAATTTTCGAATTCGTTAAATCAAAATTCAATTTGCACAAAAACCAAATTGCTACACAACAAATATTACGAAAACCTATACTTAAAAATACAATCTGCAACGTAAAAATACGATAATATTGCAAAAAAAAAAAAATACAAAACAAATAAAAAATCCAAATCTACTTACAATTGAAAACGAAAACCAAAAACAAAACAGAAAGCGCAACAAGCAAACAAGGTATATCAAAGAAATTATTAAAATTCTTCTAAATTTTAAGTAAAATTCTTTAATATTAAGCATTCAATTTATATTACTGGTATTTGTGTTTCAACTGTGTCTGCATTTAGTTGGGTTCTACGGTGATTTTAATTCTTTTTTTTGTTTGTTCCTTTCGAGTTGTTAAATTCAGTTGTATTTATTTAATGTTTCTTTTTTTCAATATTTAATATTTCGTTTTTGAAGTAGTTTTGTATTGAGCGGTTGCGCTACTTTGATGCTCTAAGTCTTGCTTGAAACCCCCACTTCCCCACCTTCACTTTTTAAGAATTTGGAAAAAAAACTTATATGAACTGTTTGAGATTATTGTTATTATGATTGATCGAAATTCGTTCGTTACTTTTTAGTAGTGCATCTAATCTGTTATTAATATAAATTAAATAAGACCCGCATTGATCTAATTCGAAAGCTAACCCAAGTTTATTTGAGACGACTTGAAATGACTTTAAATTTTTTTATTTATATCGATGGTCCTCTGGTCTGCTGGTCCTCGATGGTGATCTGCTGACATTTCCCGTAACTATAATCTGTCTCAACGGTAGCGTAACCACATTCAAATAACATGTTTAAGCCGGATGTGAGTTCGCAGACACAAGCTAACAGTATTCAATCAATAGTTGAAGGCAATGTGAATCTTTGTTTCATTACTGTTGAGATAGGCGGAATTATCGAACGCCATAATTTGTCGATTGTCCTCTTTAAACCTCCTATGGGCAGATGAGTCTGTCCAGACATTTTCTATTTTATAACGTCGAATAACATAGGGATATAGAGATTTGGTTTAACATGGAAGGGATAGGAAGGCATTGGAAGGGATAGGAAGGCATTGGAAGGGATAGGAAGGTATTGGAGGGGATAGCAAGGCATTGCAAGGGATTGGAAGGGGATAGGAAGGCACTGAAAGGGATAGGAAGCCATTGGAAGGGATAGGAAGGCATTGGAAGGCATTGGAAGGGATAGGAACGCATTGGAAGGGATACGAAGGCATAGGAACACATTGGAAGGCATAAGAAGGAATTACAAGGGATAGGAAGGCATTGGAAGGGATAGGAAGGTACGTATTGGAAGGGATAGGAAGGCATTGGATGGGATAGAAAGGCATTGGAAGGGATGAGAAGGCATTGGAAGGGATAGGAACACATTGGAAGGGATAGGAAGGCATTGGAAGGGATGGGAAGGCATTTGAAGGGATGAGAAGGCATTGGAAGGGACAGGAACCCATTGGAAGGGATAAGAAGGCTACATTTCAAATAGCATTGGATAATTCGTTAGCTGGCTCACACGAGGTATTTTTCCGATACACCGGTTGGAAATTGGAAGCATATACTAAGGGGGCGAATACCCATATTGTTAGCTTATTTAATCACACCATAATCCAATTAGAACCAGTCCAATTCACCTCTTTTTACCACTGATTGTAATTAGTTTGGAATTTTGCAACAATTTTTAATAATCAATTTTTATCTATTTGAGTATGTATGTAAATACTTTAAGCACACAAGACCTGCCTTTCTAAATATTCAAATAATGTCGCATTTTATCAGCCGCCTATAACTATCAAAAATGTAATACATATTTTTAAAGTAGCTGCTATTATAAACACAATTTGCAAATTCCTCTAACCTCTCCTTTGGCAAAAAAATATATCCGATTATAAACGATATGTATACATACCAAATTTTTAATGAAGTACTTATTGCATGCCTTTTTAAGGTTTATCTGAAGTTTTTCTTCAATACAGTTAAAAAAAAAAACATAATTAACCCTAGTAGCTTATTTGTTAGAAATATTCAAGTTACTTTAAAGTTTAAAGTTGAAATACAACTTTTCTAATAAAGTTTTTTTCTTGAATGGTGTTAATTATTTTTTGCTTTTATGGCCTTATTTTTGTTTGGTTATTATTATTATTTTTTTAATTCAAGTATCCTTAATTGGCATCTTATTCAATAATAATTTGTGAAAATAATGATAGAAAATAAATAAATTAAAAAAGGAAATATAAATAGGAACACGAGATATCTATAAAACTTAAAATTCCCAAAAAAATAAATAAATATCAGCTTAGTGTAAAAAAAGCTGACTATGTTTTAGCGAAACTCATTCAACGCGTGCAGAAAACTGCCTCAGACTACATGCTGCCTATTTTAACTGTTTTCGTTTTCATTTGACGATGCCAAAAGGCTCATAACTAAACTTTTCAATAGCGAAGCACAGGCATAAATACTTTTTCACAGTCTCATCCTCTTGAGGGCATGAATGGCATATGGGGTTATCATGTTGGCCGATCACAGTCAAATGTATACACTGCTACTTGCAGCGCCTCGATGCCGCCAAGTTCCAAGGTGCGGACCGAGGAATACCTCGTCTAAGACTTCTCTAGATGGATGTCTCATTACCAGATTCTCTCGAGTGACCTGGCACCTAACGTATAACTTGTTGGTTATATTTTCCGATGCAATTTAGCTGCATTTTATGCAATACATTGCCGAACTAATTAAGGCCCCTATTGCGAGTGTCGACTGGCAGTAGAATAGAAATTTGTCGATCGAGTCGATCATCTTTTATTTTGCTATTGTGTAACTTGATCGATAAAAATTTGTACTATTGTGAATGGTTGACAGAATTGTAAACAGCTGTTTGTTTGTTTACATTTGTTTCTTGAGTGTTTTATTTACATCATTTTTAAAATAATTGCTTTTATTATAAAATTAAAAAAAATGGTCACAGTTGAAATATGGTTTAGTGATGAGGAAGATGATGCGGAAGCTAATAGATTAGTAGAGTTGGCTAAAGCAAGGAGGGAATTGCGAGATTCGTTGAATCCCTTGGACTTGGAAGGTGTATGTACATGTGCGAGTTTTATGAATAGAAGTTGCGTTCCCGATGCTTCACGGTTTTAAGCCTTTACATGATTTGCAGGAAAAGCTGTTTTCCTCATTAATAAACTTTATGGAAGTTTAAGAAATGCGGTACGGTTAAGTTTTTTGTACAATGATGTTCGGTTTTTGTGTCCAAACGCGTGACCCGAGTTTAAAAACTTTAACATAATAACATAACAAGTGTATTGAAAGAATTCACCTTTAATTTAAAATAAAGATTTCAAATTTCCGAGCACTAGTCAATTAATAAATTATGCAGTTTTTTTGTATAAACTTTTGATGTTGGTTCTGCGCAAAAACACTGTGGATGGCGTAGCCGGAGTTATATGCACAAGAAATATTGTATATGTATCTTTTCCAATAGAAGCGCAGCTTCCTACCCTACTCTTTCCGGAAATTCCTTTGCCTATGTCTTCACTCTCCTGCATCAGTATGACCAACCGCGCAAGTTGCCTTTTGTTGCTTATAATTTTTGATCTGTAACTCAGACACACACATGCATATGTATATTTCACAATTTTTTACAACTTCCAATTCAATTGACTTACTTTTTATCCATTATAGTACCACTTTCTTATGTAAATTTTATAAACGCAAACTCCAACGACTAAAAAACAGCAATAGAAGGATGAGCGATTAAAAAAGTATTCACAGTCGCTAATTGAGCGACTAAGCGACACTCGCAATAGCATCGATAATCGATAATCGCTTAATAGTCGTTTATCTACTGCCAGTCGACATTCGCAATAGGGGTGTAAGTTAATCAGTACTAGTTAGTTAGAGTGTTGGCCAATTGCCTTGTGTGTAGCTTAGCTTTCACTACAGGGACGTATTCCACCAGGTTGTGCATATTCTCCAAGAGAATTGAACATTGTCAGTTCTTGTGCCATCAGTAAAGATTCTAGAATATGTATACCCAGCTTCAGTATTGGAGTTAAATCAGCACACAGCCACAGTAAACTCTAAGTTATAGCATCTCTTCAGCAAAAATAGAAGTACTCTACTGTGGCATTGAAAAGACCCTAACGTGTACTTGTAGATTTTTGCCTCCAGCAATGTCTGCTTCATTCCACTTTCAGGCCTACAAGTGGTCTTCTCCGTTGAAAAGTAGTACATCAAGTGACGACAGCTTCAGTAAAAACGCATCCAGCTTCTGTAGGGAAACCTCCCGTACAGCACACGTTTTTTTATGTGTAAACAACTTAGCTCTCGGTATGGGTAATATGTCCGTTAACCCAGCAGGAAATTTGTAATTGTATCTTGCGTATACAAATGAACATTTATGGACTAGTTTCAGGAACATTTCGGGCCTAGTTTAGGAACATTTTGAGACAAGTTCGGGATCAGCTTGGGACCGTTTCCAGACTTGTAGCTCGTTTCTGTAACAATTCTATACCAATTCATATATGAATTCGCCGCCTTGTTCTCTACTGCTAATGAGTAGTAGAGAATGTCGTCGTATATTCTCCACCAGGAGAGAAATAATCGGTAGAGAAGAGCTACAGAAACGAGCTACTGCTCAGGAAAATTTCAGGATCATTTCGGGACCCGTTCAGGTTTGGTTTAAGACTATTTGAGGATCATTTTGGGATTATTTCTGCAGCACTTTGGGACTAGCTCAAGACTATTTGAGGAAACTTTTGGCACTATTTCGGTATCGTTTTGGAACTGGTTTAGGGAAATTTGGAGACTAATTTGGGACTATTTTAGAACCAATTAGGGACTAGTTCAGAATTATTTTAAGACTAATAACCGTTTTAAGACTTGTTCGAGATTTTTTCGGAACAAGTTCACGACTTTTTCGCCCGTTTCGTGGCCTATTCAGGACTATATCAAGACCATTTCGGAACTATTTCAGGACCCTTTCAGAATCATTTTGGGCATAACAAGGAACCATTTGGAGAAAGTTTCAAGACTTGTTCGATATTTTTTCGGGACACAGGCATGATTTTTTCAAAACCACTTTAGGAGTACTTCAATACAATTTTCATACTAGTGCGGATTCTTTTAGGGGTAGTTCGAAACAAGGCACGAAATGAACTTGAAAAAGTACTGAACTACTGGTCCCGATAAAATGAATAAAATAAAGTGAAATTAATGTTTAATTTCTAACCAAAGCTATTTATGTATGTAACTGAATCACCTAATGCTTTAACAAACCGTTTACACATCAAATTTCGTAAGTACCTGGTACCAACGCCTTTTTTAATTTGTTTTAAGTTTGGTAAGCAGATTAACTTCTATTGGAGGTGAGCTCCACCTAACCACAGATGCATAGCTGATAATGGGTCTAAATCCTGTTAGTGCTTTGGAGATCTTTTGCTCAACGCTCATTCTCAATACAGCTATCGGCAATCATATTCAGTGTTTTTTTTTTGTGTGTTTTATTGCAACCAACTGAGAGAGAGGCGCCTGTTAGATTGTATAGCCCCAAACAACTGTGCACGCGACTTATTGACCTCTTTCTGCCTGAATCCTAATGGTAAAAATGATGATGAAATATTGCTTTAGAACAATGTGAAAAAGTGACCCTTTCATGTTCCCATAGATGTCATCTTGCCAACTGAGACTTAACTTAATAACTTAAATCGACCTACGAAATTTTTTTGCGTATCAAAATCCTAACAGTTGAGCGCGTTTAGAACAGCTTACATGTAGATTTAAAATTAGGTTTCCAACACTTGAATACGAAATCGAAGAAATGCACACTTACTGTATTCCTAATTGGCTTATTTTAAAAATCACTACAACAAACATTTCACCACGAATATTAATGCCTAGTGAACATCAATTAACAACAATCAAACATACTCACAAATCTACAAAGCAGCTGCTACTACATACCTACCTACGTACACATATCCAAACTCATTGCAAAAATACATATATTTCATAGTAATATCATTCATTCGATATTTGCTAAAAGCTTTTTTTGCACTGCATGTAATTTCTTGTTAAGCGCACCGTTTCATAGTAGAGTTTGAAGAAAATGAAAAAAACTATTTACATGTATCCAAATTTTGTTTGAGACTTCCTGAAATCATTGTACTATAATCAACTCTCCGCATTGCTGCTTTCGCTATTACTTAGTTTCCACTAGTTGTTTTTGTTGTAAGGTTTTTCTTTGGCTGTAACCAAATCGCTTTGCTTTCTTATAAATTTGTGCGTTTATTTATGCGCTCAACTGTAGCTCATAGAATATTTTCCCAACATCTAAATAATCTACATACAAATATGTGCTGCTTTTCCTTTGCATGCCAACACTCGCTTCGACTGCACCACCCCCGCCCCGACTCACACATAAACAACGTCTGTGTCTAGACTAAATTTGGCGCACGTTGTAAAGCTTGGAATTTGGCGCCCTACAATCCAGAGTTGCCGCCATGCATACGTTTGCGTTTGGAGGAGACACTCAACCCACCACAGGGTGATGTAAACATCACCGATAAGAAAATTATACAGAGGTGTGTATGAATGTTCATTTTTGCTTTTGTATTTGGTATGTAATTTTTCTGTTAATCTCTCTCTCTTTGTTCCCTAACAGTTGGATACAGCATCATGCGGAAGTGCGCGTAAAGGATGTTAATTTAGATTTATCCATGAGCACAGTTATAGGTTTGGGAGATTTAGCAGAAGATGAAATAATCACCACTCCTTTGCCGGTGACTGTAAGTTCAATAAATTTCACACACAATTGTTTTGTTGTTGTACGACTTATTTTTCTGCACAGGTGCACGTGGAAAATGTGAGAATCAACTTAATAGAAGATCGTCCGCCCGTTAATATTACCTCACCGGGTCCAGTGCCAATACGCTTGGCCATAGGTCGTATGCGTATACATCGTGATAAGAATGGCATTGTGAACGTACAACCTATAGGTAAGTAGTAAATTTTGTTTACTGCTTGGCTTTGGAAAATTAAGTAAAATATGGGTAGAACAATATCAAGCTTATCAGTATTTGAAAGAATCGATGTCTGTATATTTTTAGAGCAACATAAGCCAAATTAACAATCTTTTGGAATTTTTCTTTTTCTCTCTGTATGTTTGTATGCGCATCACTCGAAAACTAATGCATGGAATCGAATGCGGTTTTCCCTGATGCATTGCTAAAGGTCTAAGTTAAAATATAAGAAAAAAATAATTAGAGAATTGCCGCCTATTTGAAAATTGAGTTTAAGCAATTTGATAAGATAAAGTAAAATTGCAACATTGCTGTCAAAAGAAAAAGGTTTAAGAAGGCTTAGAGCCAAAAATATTTTTTTGGTTGAAGATTGCCACCTGTTTGAAAATTTAATTGATAGAATAAATTAAATATTGCAATTTTGGTATCAAACTTGAAAGGTTTAGGAAAATTTACCACCAAATTTATTTGCGAGGAGGGCTGCCACCTTTTTGAAATAGTGTTCAATTAAACTGTTAAAGTAAATGAAATACTACAATACGAGTATCAAACTAAAAGAGGTTTAGGAAAGTTTGCTGTCGAAAATATTTTTGAAGCGGGTTGTCACCTATTTGAAAAATTTAATTCAGTCGAATTGATAAGAAAGTACACGATATGTAGGCTCGAGTTATAAAATTATAAATATAATTTCCAGAAGAAAGTCGATACTTCACCTACTTTCTAAATACATTCGAAAATATATTAACTAACACCCACAATCATAAAAAATACAGGATGCTTCAAAAATCGATTTTTTTTTTTGAAAATCTCACTTTATAAAGCTCTTTAAACCTATTTTATTTCTTTGAATGAGGCCATTCGAGTTTTGGAAAAGAGTAACAACACAATAATACTTTCAAGGCGCAGTGAAGCACGTCGGGTATTTGCTAGTCGTTCAATAAAACTGAAACTAACCTAAAAGTGTCATTATTTTCAAATCTAAAGTAAACGTTGAAAGTGGGACAGGGAGGCTATCCCGATAGTACAGATTTTCGAATATCTCATTTAAAAATCCGAATGTCCGGATCTTCGCGTATAACATGAATTAGCCGGATATCCGAGTTTTCGAATCTAAAAATAACAAAGTAATTCTTTGTGTAATGAGGTGTTCCATAATATTTTTTTTTTGCAACTCGATGTGAGGCCATGAGAGCCAGAGGAGCATGAGAAAGAAGTATCTATAATTAATGAATGCGGCCGCTGTGGTGTAATGGCTAAGGCAGTATCTCACGATTGGTACGTTTGTACAGATTTGTACATATTTTATATTTTGGGTTATTGGTACAAAATGAAAAAATGGGGATGACAATTTTTTTTTTTTTGTAGTCACACGATTGGTACAATACAGCGAACTTCTATTGAAAATTTTGAACAAATTGTTCTTTGTGATTGGGACCACATTTTGAAAGAAAAAGAAAGAAAAGAAACAGTTTTTTCTAATAGCTTTCGCCCCTCGGCAGGCAATGGCAGACCTCCGAGTGTATTTCTGCCATGAAAAACAGCTTCTCATAAATATACAATCGCCGTTCGAAGTCGGCGTTAAATTGTAGGTGACTACATCAAGGCTAACATCACAAATCGGAGGAGAAGCTGTTATTATTACTAGCCAATGCCCGCTTGCTTCGCGGCGCCTAATAAGAACTTTTGCGTTGGACAATGCAAAAGAGCGTTTAAATGCAAAAACGGTCCGTAAAGTAAACATTTTTTAGTTTAAGTGGAGACGTCTAAAGAGCAGTATCCTCCTCACACATAGGCCAGGAATAGTAACACTGTGATACCATATGGAATACTAATCCCTTTCGATGTCATGAGCTTTACCGATGGTCTTATTTCCACCTGTGAGATCTGTGCCAAGCATGCGTAATCTTTTTGTCGAATCTTTCCTTGTTAATTCGCCACTTTTAAAATTCGTGTTAATATTTATGAACTCGTTTCTAGGTAGATAGGGCAAGATCGCATTTAGGCGGTATAAGGGCGTCAGACAAAGGTGCGCTTACTCAATTTTGCGGTCTTTCTATGCATACTTAACCCCATCCTTCATTTGGCCATCTGAAAACTTAATTCGCATAACTTAAACATAGGACCAAATCAGACCAAAAACACGAGATTTCTATATATTTCGGCTGCAGCGCAATCCATTAGGCCCATTTTCTGCAAAACCATTGCTTATCATAAATTGAATACGCATTATGAATTTCAACCATATTGTATAAGAAATGCGAATTTTCCAAATACCTAGACTCCAGCGCCACCCAGCGGGTCCATTTTTATCAAAAGAATTTTTCATCATACAGGTACAGTCACTTTTCGCCATAAGTACTGTTTTGATAATAATGTAGCTGTGTCAAATTTCAGGACGTTAGAATAATCGGTTCCTGAGATAAGCGATATGAGAAGTTCAGTTTGTATCGGAGGTGCCACGCCCCCCTTTTCCAATGCCTACCAGTTTTCGCCATAAGTAGGGTATTTGCAATTTATGCATCCGTGCTAAGTTGTAGTTCCTCAGCGTAATTGGTTTTAGAGATATATTGGTTTTTAGGTTTTAGTCTGTATACGACTTTTAGGAATATCCCAACCCCAGCGCCACCTAGCGATTAAATTTTTAGTCGAAATATTTACTTTCATAAAATCGGTCCAGTCGTATGTAGATCATTAATTTTTGGAACAATTTTACGAATCTGTTCAAACCTTCAGCGACTCTCGCCCCATGCATGCGGTTCTTGGAACCCAATCAGCACCAAGCGCAGATAATGAGCTTCAGTTGCAATGAGACACCTGCGTTACTCTGATCCAGTTAAGGTATGCATACACTCGACCCTCACTTACCTAATACATGTCCGGCTTGTGGAGACCCCCCACACGATACCAACTGCCCTCTTAACGTGCCCACACGACCTAAATAAACTAACACTGCTTCCTTTTTCTGGTCCAACCACGTCGAAATAGCACGTTTTCTGGGACTATCCTTAGTTGAGCTTGACGACAGTGATTTATGGATTAGCTGATCTAGGCAGGGCTTAGTATGCAGTGCAATAACAACATGATATCCTTTAGTGGATAGCAAAGTTTTTTTTTTTAAGCATTTAAAGGATATTTTCAAAAAAGAGCACTTTCAATTGCAAAATATAATTGAGAAGTTCGCGAATCCAGAACTTTGTAGTCGATCTGTTGAAGCAGACTCATAGCATGAAACGAAGTTTCGCCGATGTCTTTAAGTATAAAAGCCCGATTCTTGGAAAACATTTTGAATTTGGTGATCCAACAAAAAATTTTTTAAAAACCTAATTCTATTTTGATAATTTTTGGTATCTCTTTTTCTTTGCAGAAACTGGTTTAAATGACGCTGCCTCTTCAAACTATCCTCTAACAGCTGCCACTCCGACACCACGCGATCGCGATCGTGATCGTGAAATACTTGCAATGCAGTTGGTTATGCAACAATTGAAAATGGACAATGACAATTTGCGTAAGCAGTTGGTAAATGCGAAAGAAAATGCCGATTGCTATAGGTAAATGTAACTGTAACTATTTCTTGTTTGTACAAATGAGCATTTCTGGACTAGTTCAGGGATGTTTCAAGACCATTTCGGGCTTAGTTCACGATTAGTTTAGGACCATTACGGGAATAGAACCGTTTCAGGACCTATTTAGAACAATACCGGGATTAGTTCGCGACCATTTGAGGACCATTTTGGGACTAGCTCTGAACCATTTCGGGTCTAGTAAAGGACTATTTAAGGTTAATTCTCGGCCTAGTTCGCGATGATTTTGGGACTAGTTCAGTAGCATTATTTTAGGCATTGTTCGGGATGATTTTGCAACTCTAATAAGCGACCATTTCGAGACTGTTTCAAGTCCTGTTTGATAACGTTTGTGTACTTGCTTACAACATTTTCGACCGTTTCGGGACTTTTTCAGGAACATCTAGGAACTACTTCAGGACACTTTTCGGACTAGTTGGGGATCTTTTGGGGGGGGTAGTTCGAAACCAGTCACAAAATAATCCTGAACTATTCCCAAAGTATTTATAAAAAAGTCGTGTACTGGGCCTGACAAAATGAATATAATGAATAATAATATTTAATTTTTAACCTAGCCTATTGCCTAATGGTTGACCAACCGTACACATATGAAATTTCATGAGTACCTGGGACTCACTCCTTTTTTAGATAAATATGTTATTAGAAAGCACACTTTCGTAAAAATAGTACATACATATTAAATTAGTGCGCCAATTGATTTAAATATTTTATATTTCTAGAAAAGCGTGATATGCTTAACAATTTATTTTTTTCTTTATTTTTTCGGTGCAGACAAAAGACCAAACAAGATAATGATGTACTACGTTCATATCTAAAAGCGGCACAAGACGACATAACTATACTTTTGGAAGAGAAAAAGGCTTTGCTGGATACGATACGTTCACTGCAGGTAAGTCTTGATTTGCACAATTTTTGCATTAATACAATACATTTTTTAAGAGTTTTGAAGTTCACTTTAATGTGTTTTGATAAAAATGATAAAAAAAAAATGCACACCAAATCTACTCGAACGCGCACAAAACAAACCACAACACCCACCAAAACACTTTTGCTCGAGTTTGTATGGGTAAACGCCATTCGTATCAGCATAACGGTGTTTTTTTTGCATTTTGCATTTTGCTGTGCTTAATTGAATTTTGAAAGCTCAACAGCTGCTGCTGATATTATTTATATTCAACTAGATATATATTCTTAAACGATTGTTTTTGAAAATTATACGACTGGTTCTCTTTTATAAGCTAAGAAATT